TAAATCAAGGTCTAGTTGTAAGTACATGTTTAGGGGGTGCCTTTGTTGGATCGTTGTTAGGTGGTTTGATTGCAGATGGGGTTGGGCGTCGCAGGGCATTCCAGCTATGTGCTTTGCCTATGATAATTGGGGCTTCAATGAGGTAATTGCAATATTATTTCATCTACTTTAAGTTCTAGAACTTTTCCTTTTGAATTTATCTCAAACAGGCTGTTCCATTATGTTTAAATGTTTTTATATGCTAATGTCTTTGAGGGTTTGTTCAAAAGTTTTCCTTTTTGGATTTTAGCACATACTAATTTTCACAAGGAAAAAATTGAGTTCAGCTGATACATCTATCTTGTTAATTTTAGGGTCCCTGAGCCATTTTGTTAAGAGATATTGACTTCCTTCTACCTTTCTCTTATAGTTTTCATAAGAAAATTAAGTTTTAGAGATTAATTTAGGGGTTCTCTTTGGCATCACGGTTGTAGTCTTTTAAACTGATAATCTTAATAAGTTTTTCCTTTTACATATATAATTCCAAAATTATTATTGCAGTGCAACCGCACAAAACCTTTGGGGCATGCTTCTAGGGAGGTTATTTGTAGGGACTGGAATGGGTACTGGCCCGCCTGTGGCAGCTCTTTACGTGACAGAGGTATCTAAGAGATGATTAATAGACTATTTTTCTGTGATTTTCAACATCTTCTTTTTCCTCCCTTTTTCACATAGTAAGATGATCCATGTACAGGTTTCTCCAGCTTATGTAAGAGGTACATATGGAAGCTTCACTCAAATTGCAACAGGGCTAGGATTGCTGGGTTCTCTATTCATTGGATTCCCTGCCAAGGAAATTGAGGGTTGGTAAGAAATGCTTTGAAAATGATAATCAATAAAAAGTTGTTTTAATATGTTTTTCATTTTTATTTGAAGCAAATTTTAAGACGTCACCACCGTTGGATGATGTGCATGGTTGTTACTTTCTGTTTCTAAAGTGCCATCAAAACAGCAATTTTAGCAACTCGAGATTGTGCTTTGCGGATTCATAAAGTGATAACATATTTCATAACTTGATGATGTTCCCAGGTGGCGCATGTGTTTCTGGGCATCTGTTGCTCCTGCTGCCATTCTTGCTCTTTTTATGGAGTTCTGTGCGGAGAGTCCCCATTGGCTTTTCAAGGTGATTTGCTCTTCCTTCATACTCAGTAATAATATTTTTTCACAAATAGAAAAGCAATAATAATTTTACACTTTCCATTTACATGGTCAGCATCAGTTAAGTTTCACCTTCTCCTAATAAAATTTAGACCCGGGTAGACTAATGATATTAAAAATTATGAAAAAGCAAAAAAAAAAAAAAGTTCAAATTTTATATTGTTATATTCTCTGGAATTTTGAACAATTAGCTTTAATTATACCATGCATTAACTTCAACCATTTAAAATACTAAGATTTCTAGTGCAATTTGAGTTAAGATCTGAATATGAAGTTGTTATGCAGTTGAGCATTTCTGTAAAGAAATATTCAATCGTATAACAATCAAATTTCAGTGCATGGATATAGTCTAGATGAATTGGATATTTTAGATTTTAGAAGCATCTACAAACTGAGATAGGACAAAAGACTCATCATATTGTTTTAAAAATCTCTTCTGAGCCTGAAATTTTAATTTTATGGAGAATGTAACATACTAACATGGAAAGCTAGGTTCATTGCTGAGTTGTGGATTATTCTTACGGCTAATATACCCTAACATCATCTCAACATATTCTTACTTCACCATTATCTATAATAGGGAAAAATATATGAACAGTTTCATATCCTTTCCCTTTGATTATCTTCAAGTATCTTTTTTTCTCAATGAACTATTATAAGCTTTATAAACTTGCTTCAGAGAGGAAGAGGTGTTGAAGCTGAAGCTGAGTATGAAAAACTTTTGGGAGGACCATATGTCAAAAGTGCTATGGCTGAATTGTCAAAGTCAGATAGAGGGGAAGATGCTGATACATTCAAGTTCTCAGAGCTACTTTATGGCCATCATCGTAAAGGTGAACATACTAATAATTTTCACTAAAGATTTCAGTTGTATTATATATACTTTCTGAACGATTACTTGTTAACTTCTCCATTTGCAGTTGTTTTCATGGGGTCTACCCTTTTTGCTTTACAACAGCTCTCTGGTATAAATGCTGTTTTCTATTTCTCATCGACCGTCTTTAAAAGCGCTGGTGTACCTTCAGAGTCTGCAAACATGTGCGTGGGAGTTGCTAATTTGTTAGGTATAAATGGCTACATTATCAAGTATCCAACTTGTGCATCATTGTGGAGTGTTACACTAACTATGTTATTTATGTCTTCAGGATCATTTGTTGCAATGATTTTGATTGATAAACTGGGAAGGAAGGTACTTCTTATTGGAAGTTTTTCAGGCATGGTAAGGAAGAAAGTTTTTTGCTGGTATTTTAGTATTTGGTTCATGCCATGAGCATATATATGATATCAAAGTTCCTAATATGCTAATATTGTGTTGTTTGTGTGGTACACATTTTCCCTATTATACTTGAACCTAACCATTTTCGTATCGTGCTAATATCGCGGTACATATATTTCTGACTTTGGACTTCACCCTAACAACTTGTATAATTTTCAATACAATTTTGACGCACTAGTCAATTTTCAATGTATGCTTTGGTGCTTCAGGTAGTGGCAATGGGTCTTCAGGCAATTTCAGCCACTTCCTTAGTGTCAAGAAGCAGTGCGGTTTATCTCTCTGTTGGAGGCATGCTTTTGTAAGTAGTTAATCCTTTGAATTTCAAAATGTTTGTTTTCAGAGTGGAGATAAGTTTATTAAACTTGTGTGGCTTAGTGTCAGTATACATATTGAGGATTTCCGCTTAATCCATCATAAATTGCAAAATACAATATGCTACCTGAGAAAAATGAATCTGCCTAATATATTTTTTTCTAATTCAGTTTGGTTCCGTAGACTCTGTTTAAGGTGTCCTTTATTACGTACTTGTATGAAAGTTACAGAAGAAAGCATTCTATATTTAGTAACTTCAGTTTGCATGGTGGCATTCTGTCAACCGAAGTCTTAATGATGCGTCAATGCAGGTTTGTCTTGGCCTTTGCTATTGGAGCTGGACCAGTCCCTAGTATTCTCCTATCAGAAATGTTTCCTGGTCGGGTTAGGGCAAATGCTGTGTCAATTTGCATGGCTTTCCATTGGGTAACAAGCACTTGAATATTGGGCAATTTCTCTTTTGTTTGTCCGGATTTCCTTATCTTTGACTTTGGTGTTTGTAACAGATGGTAAATTTCTTTGTTGGCCTGTTATTTTTGCGGTTGCTGGAGCAGATCGGACCGTTAGTCCTGAATTCAATTTTCGGTATGTTTTGTCTGGTGGCAGTAGTTTTTGTAAGGAAAAATGTGTTGGAAACCAAAGGAAAATCACTTCAAGAGATCGAAATGTCACTTCTTCAATAAGAATAGAGGTATACAAGTTTCTTCTTGCATTCTGAATTTATAAACATACTATAAGTTTCTTCTTGCAGTAGTTTATCATTCAACCTGATTTTGTTGGCCATATGATTATTTTTCAGGGCTCTGCTGAATGCAAGTATGCCATTGCTTGCACCAATGTGTCTTGCATCTAATCCGAAAGATACAGACTTTGGTAAATGATGTCAACTGTCATAGATTTGAACACCTTCATGTAAAATTCTAAGAGCAATTAACAGGTTTTGTCACTTGAGATGATATGTTCCATTAGTGGGCAGGCAATGAGCCTTTCTCCAATTTCATTTTTCATGTGCTTTTGTGTTTTCAATGAAAGCGTTTCTGATTTTATATGTATTCCCCCACAAATCATTGCAAAGAAATAAAATGGACAACTTTCTTATCTACCAACTATACTATGATGACCACTCTACTAATACATCCATATATGAATGTTAATCTCTCTTGTTTTCGCTCCACCAAATGATTAACTGCATATATACATAGCATGCATGCATGCATTAAAAATCAAAAATTCATATTTTTCAATCCATCATTAGTAACTATCAGATTAACTTAAAATCAAACTATGTTAATCTGCTTGTGAAATGGAACTACCGCTCTATCATTGGAGATTCAACTTTTGCAACATTGCCAATTTGAAAAATAATTTTTTAAAAGAATATTTCGTTTTAACATTTTCTAAGGACAATTAAAAAAAATTAATAATTTTAATATAAGTTTTAAAAGTGTTCTCGTTAAATTTTTGATAAATTTATCATATTTTTAAAAATAATATTATATTTATCTATATTTGATTCACAAAATATAATATTATCTAAATTTTTAATTTTAAGTAATTTTCAAATGTAAGTTTTAAAATGTAAAAGGTAATTTTATATATTTAATTTTAATTATACTTTTAAAAATAATATTATATTATGTGAATTAAATGTCATACAAAATTATCAAAGTGGTTAAAGATGGAGATAGCGTTGGGGAGTTGCTCTACTTGAGTGGTGAACAATTCTTTATACATATTTTTAGATGTAATTAGAAGATGTGTCGTCTTAAAAAAAATTAATTTTAATATAAATAAATAATAAAATTTGATTTTTATTCAGTTGCTCACATTCGATAAATAAACATATTTGTTTATTTTTATTAACTAATTATTATATTTAATATCAAAACCATGTTTTGATATTCAGTTTTTTAAATTTAAAACTTGATCTAATTTTCTATTTTTCTTAATTGGATGAACTCCGAGCATTAGCTAGGCGTTAGGAGCCTTTTTCTAAGCTTATTAATTACCGGTCACCGTCACCATCGTCGTCCAAAGTCTTCCGTGGGATCACAATCCGCCGCTAGAAACCAAAAACTCGTCGTCATTTCTCGTATTATCTGTAAGCAGTAGTTTTCGAAAATTACCACTTGGAATTTATACCGTAACAGATTTGTCAGTTCATTAAAAAAGAAATGTACATTAGCAGGACACAGATTCGGCATCCGAATTTAATACAGGAAGAAAAAGTGGGTAAAAAATGCCAACAATCATCAACTACTCATTTAAAGGTCTCAACTATGTCTTGCTACTTCGCCCCTCGGCTTTTAATGGCCATCGCTTCTATTATTTTAATCCTTTTCTCAGACCCCCTTTCATCAACGCTTCCTTCTCTTCCTCGTCCCCCTCTCAATCATGTAAGTTCTCTCTCTTTTTATTTGTTGGGTTTTTCTTTTTGCTTTGTGTTGATTGCCTTTTTTTTGTTCGAGGAAATGGGTGGCTAAGCTTTTGTTCGTTGTTGTTCTGTTATTAAATACCCTTTAAATTGTTTTGTTTCGGGTTGTCTTTTGGAAGTGGAATCAGAACTGGGTTCATTCATGGAGGTGATCAAAGCTGCTTGGAGGCCATCTGTTGCAGATAGAATAGCAATTCGAGCTGATCAAAAGAGCTATACTTACACGCAGCTCCTTTCCTCTGCATGCAACATATCTAGACTGTTATCCAGCACCAACATCGAAATTGTATGCGCTTGGTGCCATTTCATTTGAACAAATATATCTATTGAATTTTTGGGTAGTTTTTTCATACTTTTTTTGGTGATTTCAGAATAATAAAGGCGCTAGTGGACATGGAAAGCTTGGTGGAGCTAGAGTTGGTATTGTTGCTAAACCTTCTGCTGAGTTCGTGGCTGGAGTGCTGGGTACTTGGCTTGGTGGAGGTGTTGTTGTTCCACTAGCTCTCAGCCATCCTGAGGCTGAGCTCATGCATGTTATGAATGATTCGGTATCCCCTGTAGTTATCTGTATTTTCCATTTCTTTAAATTGCTTATCGATTTTTGTTTTTCAAATTTAATCTACTTTATTGAGAATAAACTAGTCCTTTAGCTTAAAGAACTTGTGTCTTTGTCCATAAACTAGGAACCCAGATCGGGTATCTTTCTTCAGCTCTCATTTGCATTTAGTCTCTAACCGTGGTCTTTGTAAGCTTTCCAAATAGTATTCTGTAGCTGGATTCAGAATAATTATTGGTGTTAGATTGTATACGACTTTAATATACTTGTAATAGACTTAAAGTATTAGACGCAGTATCCATTTAATGGCAGATGACTAGTGCTAAATACCCTATGAATGCTGGGAGTTATTTCCTTTTGTGCCCGGTGCATTCTCTCACTTGGAATTTATTAACTTTTTATTTTTTAAATGCGTAATGTTACTCAATTTGTTTTTTGTTACTGTATCAGGATATATCGGTTGTATTGAGTACTGAAGACTACAGTGAATCTATGCAAAGTGTTGCCACTAGATGTGCAGCACCGTACTCTCTTATTCCTCCTGTTTCCAGCACTTCCTCGTCCTCAAATACGACTGATGAATCACAAATTGGAGAGATGGGTAATATATAGAACTCTGGTTGTGCTAATGGTTAATCTTTATGATAATTTGCAGAAGTATTGTCCTTTTTTTTGGACAAATCTTTCTGTTCATACTCCTTGTTTTCGTTTTCAATGTGCAGATGAAAATCCGGCATTGATAGTCTATACCAGTGGTACAACAGGTAAACCTAAAGGGGTAGTTCATACCCACAAGAGCATCTCTGCGCAGGTATTCTTCTAAAATTTTGTATCTGTTCTTTATTTAGGTCCTCAATTATAATATCCAATACAATATAGAAGCTTAATTAATGAGATGTATATATTAATATCCTATACAATATCCTATGCAATTAAAATAAAAGAGGAACATTTTTCCTTCGTCTAACTGTTTTCCAAATCAATTCTTAGATCAGAGACTCCTAACTATCTTTGCATGTAAGTTGCGAATGATATATATTTGGAAATAATAATATTAATATTTTTTGAAACTACTACCATATGCAATGAGCAGAGTAGTAGATAATGCAATAGTGAACTTCTTGACATTCTGGATTTCCTTATTATTCTGTTCTTTTTTTAACTCTTGAATTGGATTTACCTTTTGACAAGTTTTTCTTTATTTCAGGTGAAAATGCTGGCTGATGCCTGGGAGTATACATCTACTGATCAGTTTCTGCATTGTCTACCACTACATCATATCCATCAACAAGCATTTATATAATCATAATAGAATGAATTCCTGGATATTATGGCCATGGGTCTAGCATTCTTCCTTGAAGCTGTTTTACCTTCTTAGTGCCGATGCTGAATACCTAATTTGAGAATATTCTTTACTTTGATCTCCTTAACTCATACCATACATGTTCATGGGCTTTTTAATGCTCTACTTGCCCCTCTGTATGCTGGCGCATCAGTAAGCAATACTAATTTATTTCCCATTTTCTGATTTGTGGAGTTCCTTGTTCTTTTCTTCGTTAAGTTATATATTTCTCGTTCAACCACTTATTTAAACAACAAAAGTGCTATTTGACTGTTGTTCTTCAGCTGGAGTATAGTAGTTCTTATTGTATTATTTTGGGACAGATTATTTAACAAGCATTATTGTTTTAATACAACTTGTTCTTTTGTTGAAGGTTGAATTTATGCCAAAGTTTAGTGTAAGGAGTATTTGGCAAAGATGGCGTGAATCATACCCGATAAATGGGAATAAGGCTGATGATGCCATTACTGTTTTTACAGGGGTAAGTGTGATTTGCACCTTAAACATTTTTGTATTTTAAGTCTTATATGGTTTAATCTTGCCTGAATAGAATGTAGAAGCTCATGGTGCTGACTCCTGATTTTATTTTAGATTACCTGTATCAAAAAAATGTAAAACACCTAAATTTAATGTTATTTAGTTATCGTCATTTAAATACGAGGAATTGAATAGATCTGTGGTTGGATGTAGCCATGTGCTCAACATCCATACTCAAGTCCAATTGTGAAAATGCTGCTCCCTTTTTAAGTTCTTCAGAATCTTAATTCATACACTGCTTTTTCTTGGACCATTATATCCGTAGCATGCTAGTTTTAGGGACAATGGCATTTTTTTCGTTGCATGACCATGTGTGTCATATAACATTCTAGTTTTTCATTCTTATTCAGGAAAAATAGTCTCAGTAGAATGCTAATAATTTATGTTGTCTTTGTTATGATCAAGGTTCCAACAATGTATACCAGATTGATACAAGGTTATCATGCAATGGATCCAGAGCAACAAGCTGCATCTGCCTCTGCTGCACGACAGCTGCGTCTTATGGTAAACTTTCTGGAAATTTTTGTCATAACATGTTCATAAAAATGTGGGTAGATTTGTAAGGTTTTCTTTCTGCCGTCTGATTAATGCTTGACAATCTGTTTATGGCACAGAATATGGCTAAACATTGTGATAATATTCTAAAAGAAGGTAAACTGTTTATATTTTTCAGATGTGTGGCTCTTCTGCACTTCCTCAGCCTGTCATGCACGAATGGGAAACCATCACTGGACATTACCTTTTAGAACGATATGGAATGACTGAGGTGAGCAAACTCAAACTAAGACCAATTTTTTAGTTATTTCTTTGCTTCATGCTACATCTTATTTATGCTGTCTGTCGGAAATGTGGTGGTTATGCTGTTTTGTTGTATTGGATAAATTCAGTTTGTCATGGCAATTTCAAATCCATTAAGGGGTGCTCGGAAGGCAGGCACGGTTGGCAAGCCATTTCCTGGTGTGCAGGTTAGCAGGGTTTCATTGGTTATGGTCGGGGCCTTTAGATATGTCATTTGAAAATGGTCGCTTCTTGCCATTGAACTCTTGAATATAGCCAAAAAAAGTTAGATTTTTCTCCAAAAATGTTTTCAAAAAATAGACATCGAGTAGAAACTTGTTTGAGAAACAACTTTTTGCCTCATAGAAAACCTGTTTTGCATGTTCCAGGGAATATATTTGATTCCCCCCCCCCCATATTATATACTTTTCTATATTACTAGAGAAAACATTGTTTCATATATGGACAATGAAGTAGAGAATGTTGACCAGAACACATATGATAGTTAAAAAACGTTTTTCCAGTACTGAGCACAGAATAAGTATTATAGTGGAATATTTTTTCCCCTTTCAAAAGGGTGACTGTACAACTTTTATTCCTTGACATGTTTAGAGAATTCTTTTTCGTTTATTTATTTCTAATAGGTCAGGATTGCTGAAGATAAAAGCGGGGGTGGTACAACGGGTGAGGGTGAGCTTTGTGTTAAAAGTCCTTCATTGTTTAAGGAATACTGGAAACTTCCTCAGGTATCTCCTTTTATCATCTGAAATTTTCTTGTAATCTAATGGAATAATCTCCGAGGCTCCAGTTTTGCATTTCTATTTTATCAAATATTGTAATTGCCTTGGAATCATGAAAAAATTGCTCAAATTTATCAAATCTAGTCATTGCTCTTGAATCATGAAAAAACAAATCTCAATTGTTTTTATACTAAAATGTCTTGTTAGGTCTTTCAAAAAAAATTGTCTTTTTAGGATTTTATGCTTTGCTGGAATTTAGTTCTCAGTGCTGTTTCTTTTCTGTTCTTGAATTTAGGGAAATGGTGCTCCCTTCCTTTTCTCTTAGTCAAGGACTAAGACCTGTATTCAAATTTTGGGGTAGAGACATATCCTAGATATGTTATGCATATTATGCATTAAATTCACTGACAGTAAATGCTAAATTCATTAATTTCCTAAAAATAGGTAACCAAGGAATCGTTTACGGATGATGGGTTCTTCAAGACTGGGGATGCTTGTAGAGTGGATGAAGATGGATACTATGTCATTTTGGGACGTAAGGAGATCTAGTTTTTTTGTTGATTTTTCAGTGTTCATTTGTTTGTGATGACTTATGCCGACATACCCTTTGTAATCTTCGTCATTTCTCTTTCGTATAAAAAATTGGTGATAATGACATGCATTTAAGCACTTTCAGAACACTCAATGTTCCTCATCATATGATCCTTCTGGTTGTTACTGCCAATACATTTTGCCTTACGTCCTGTTGGATATGGAATATGTTCAATTGCTTTCTCTGTTTGGTTGAACTCCAGCAGTTTAGCTTCAAATTTCATGTTCAGATCATGTCCTTTATGTATTCATGTGTAATTTTCAGGTACAAGTGCTGATATAATGAAGGTTGGTGGATACAAATTGTCTGCCTTGGAAATTGAATCAGTACTTCTACAGGTAAACTCGTCCTCTCTATATTCCTATTCCAAGTCATGAAACCCCTTTTTTTTTTAAACATTTGTTCTTTGATTTCCTTTCCGGGAAAACTGAAACAAAAGACCGCCCTTGACGGGGACAGGGGGGGATGATTAAACGATCATCGGTAGGCTGAATTAATTTTTTGTGCAGCACCCTGATATAGCAGAATGCTGTGTGTTTGGCTTACCGGACAAGTTTTATGGAGAAGCTGTATCTGCAATAGTGGTGCTGGAGTCCGAACGAAAAAGGAAACTAGAAGAGTCGAACTCTGCTTTCAGTTTGGAGGATCTTTGCAACTGGGCTAAAGATAAACTTGCTCCATACAAGGTACAATAGCACATTTCTATCTTTCACGAATTCAGTTTCTAATGCTGAATACCGAATCATGCAATCTGGGTCTGTCGATTCAATGCAAGCCAAGCACACCAGAGACTCCCTCTCTATATCTTTATATGAGCTAAAAATCAATTGTAGATCGATCGATGACCTCATTCTCCCTCTCGTGGATTAATGTGTGATATGAACTGATTGCATTTTGTGAACCATGGCCTGAGCATTAACATAATAATCACAATTGTCTCTTTTCCAGCTTCCAACACGATTAATGTTGTGGGATTCTCTTCCTCGTAATGCGATGGGAAAAGTGAGTTTCTTCTTTGACTTTTGTTGCAAGCAAGTAAATCGTTTAACATTATCATTATGCTGGTTAACGTGTTAGGCAAGAATCACAATGAGTTTTTTATTATTATTTATTTGACATATATGCTTTTGTTAAATTTGCAGGTGAATAAGAAAGAGCTGAAGAGACAGTTGGGTGATGAAAAGTAAGCAATCTTTATTCTGAACGCAATAATTACATATCGATGATCGGACTTGAAATGATTAATTTGAGACGCACTGATTAATTTTTATTCGATCGGTTCAATTTCTTAATCGTATTATTATTTGTTCTCCAATTTTATTTTATTTTATTTTTTAAATTTTAAATTTGAGTTAACCAAATACTACTAATTATTCCATTTTATGGTGCATTAGCATTGTTAGAAATAAAACATCCATGTTTAGAGAGAGAGAGAGCCAGAGAGAACTACATTCGAGTAAGGTGCTTAATGAGTTGAGCAGCTCGTAAGTAGCAACTCAAACTCGAGTTCGACTTGAGATCTTAACGAGTTAACACGGGTAAAGGTCAACTCGACCCATAAGTTCGCAAGCGTTCGTTATTTTTTTAGTAATTATCCTAAAAATTTATTTCATTTAAAAAATTATTAATTTATTATTAGGTAGTAAAAAAGATGATAAATTATTAATCTATTGATTTTCTAATAAATAATAATAAAAATGTTAACTTATTAATTAATAATTATTATTTAAATCAAATTATAATTATTATTTTAATGTATTTGTGTATTGTTGCTTTGAAGTTTAGGTTTTAAAATTACTTCATATACTCTTTTGATAAATTTTGATTAAATTTATTAACTTATGTTTATATTCTATATAGTATTAACATATTTTACCTATAGTTAAAAAATATGGTAAAAATTTTACTGAGTTTAACGAGCTTAATGAGCAATGAGTAGAGTAAAAAGTTTTTTAATGAGTACGAGTCAAGCAAAATTTTAATGAGCATAGAGTAGAGTCGAGAAATAAATTTTTTTAATGAGCACGAGTCGACCATTGTCCAATTCGCGATCGACTCGTTTGATAAATATCCCTACATTCGAGGTTCTAATTTCATTACTAATTTATTAATTTTATTAATCAAGTTAATTATTTAAATAATATAAATTAAATTACTTGTCATCAACATTTAATGGATAACTGAAACTGGTATAGTAGATTTTGATTATTACTTGTACATAAATCTAACATTCAAATTATAAATTTATTGTGATTTATGTTATGTTAGTGAGTTTGGGTTTGTTAATTTTATTTTTAATACAATCCTATTTTTAATATAATTTTGTATATATATATATAATTATTAAATTAAAATTAAATCAATAAATATGTAAAGAATAAAATATATATATATATTAAATTTTAAAATATGATATATTTGTTTTCCGTTAGCATTTTAATAGATTATTTAATTGATATAATTTAAATATTTAAATTATTTGATTAATGAAATTAATGAATTAATAATTGAATTGAAATTTCTATATGATTAAATGATCATTATATACTACCTATTAGAATACAAGTAGCTAATATAGCATAATGCTTTCCATAAAGTCAAAATGGGACAATCAATTCCAATACTGATGAACCGGATAAGCAATGTTGAATTCAAAATAGAACACGGTAACCCCCGCCATTAAACACTTGGTTTTAGAAAATGGAAAAAGCACATTGGAATTCCACATGAATGAAAACAAAGTCAAATAAGGTACGCAAACTCTTCTATGCTTCTAATCAAATAAGGTACGTAAGAAAATGACTTTTATCGCGTCCACCGCCGGCGCTATCGTTTCGAATTCGGTGGCTTCTCCCATCGATTTTTTCCTTAGCTGTCATACTCAATTACATATATATTGTAACAAGAGAGTCTTGTTCGTGAGAGAGAGAGTGACTAGAGAAAGACCATGGCCGAGAACTCGATGGAAGAAGATCAAAGCATTGCGCGGACGCATTTGCAGTTACAGAGATCTCTAAAATGGCTCGATGAAGTCACGAATGGTGCCATCGGTTACGAGCTCGAGGCTCGAAGCCTTCGTGGTCTTCAGGTCATCAAAGCTCAGACCGGTTTCTTACGTTGTAGCTTCATCGTTCCCGCCACCGCTTCCGTAATCTCTCTTCTCTTTTTCTTATGACTTTGAATTACGTATACGTAACAAATACTCTTCTGTCTATTTCAAATTTAGAGATGATTTCATTTCGCCTCATTGAGTTTCCATTTTAATTCCTGTTTTTCCAAGTAAAGAAAAAATGACTCGTTTATTATGCAGGATATGAATGGGAATCGGCATATAGGAGCCATAGCCACAATAATCGACAACGTTGGTGGCGCCGCCATATACTCCACCGGTCACCATCTAAAAGTCACCGTCAATTTCAACATTCAATATCATTCTACGGCTAAGATTCAGGTTTCATTTTCTTCTATCTTACTTGTGACCATTAAGATTAATCTCAGTTTAACGTAAAACAAACGTTGGTTTTAATGAATAATTAAATGCAGGAAGAAGTAGAGATAGAAGCAAAGGTAAACGGAGACAGAGGAAAGCTGACATCAGTGGTGATCGAGGTTCGAAACAAGTCGAACAATGGACGGTTGATTGCAATTGCTACTCAGTGGACGGCTGCTAATGACTATCGATCACCTCAGCCTCAAGCTAAGCTCTAACAATTTACTATGGATTCATTCTTTCGCGTAATACCAAATTTTGGCTCTAATGATTTATTTAACCAAAATATTTATTAAAGTATTTTAAATTTTTTGAGGTGATCATTCATGTTATAATATATATATATTTTATATTAATAATACAGTATTTATTTTATGATCACATTAATAAATAATTTAAATTTAAAAAAATCAAAACAAAATATTTAAAGTATATATGAACTATCATGTTGTATACCATACTACTTGTAGCGTTTTAATTTGTATTTATATTTAAAAATATCGATTTGATTTTTTTAAAAAAATAAAGGATCAAATGTAACTTTTTTTTTTTTATGAAAATGGTTAAATACTGTAGCGATGAAATTTTGTGCGACAGTAAAGAATTCGGTATAATATATATATCAATCAAACACTTAATCGTTTAACATCCATTATGATACAATTAAATGATTTGAATGGTATTCAATAATTTACATTAAAGTCACTAAATTTAATATCAACTTTTTGTATAAATCGTTAACTTTTAAAAAAAATGAATGTCCTTTGTTCTCATATGTAATGGGTAAGGAGATGTAAGATAGTAGGATGTCCCAACACTAGGTTGAAAGCAGCTTCCGTAGGAGACCTCCAAATTATGAAATGCTCTCCATGAGACTCGATCTCACGACCTCAAGGTTAAGAACCTTGTGCTCTACCAACTTGGATGGTCATTTCATAAATCGTTAACTTTTCATTTCATCAAATTAAATTATTGAATTTGATATCAATTTTCATGTAAATTAAAAAAAAACTTTTAATTGATGAAAGTACAAATCTAGAAGTTGTGTTATTAGAAATTTACCACTATACAAGATGAATACAAAATAGGTGAATACATAAATGAGCTGACTGATACACCAATAAACAGAACCACACTGCACTATGAATAGACAGACACAGAACTAGGGATGTACACAGAATTCGAAATGGATAAGTTTTGACTCAATTCGATTTTACTGGGTTGCTCTTTTTAATTAAAAAAAGTTTGGATCGGATGCAAATTTTATTTTAAAAGATAGGTAAGATTTTGGGTCAGGTGAAGCTAGGGCCATAGACGAGTCGAGCTGAGTTTGAGTATGTTGAGTTGACTTGACTCGAAAAGTATAAAATTAAGCTCGACTCAACTAAAAATCTACGAGTTTAAAATTGTCAAGCTCGACTCGAACTCAAAATAAAAAATTGAAGTTCGTTTTAAGCTCAAAAAACTTAAACTCAAAAGACTTTGTTTGATTAAAGCTCAATTTCAATATATAAAAGCCTTATATTATATTTTTTTAAAATAACATATAAATGTTAATATTGATAATAATTTAATTTAAAAAATATAAAAATTTATTATTTTGTTTTTCGAGTTGTTTACAATTTTTTTCGAGTCGGGTATCAAATAGCTCACTTCGGCTCGTTAAGAATTCGAATTGAGTTCGAACTCAAATCGAGACTGAGAGTTGACTGAGATTTGAACGAGTTAATATTGAATAACTTGCGATCTGTCTCGTCTCATTTACAACACTGGTGAAACTACACTAAATTTAAATTAAATTAAATTAAATTTTGGGTAAAAGATGCAATTTTATCAGTTAGATCGAATTGATGGAATTCCTAACTCAACCGACCCATTTCCATTCATTGGATCCGCATTCTCGTCTCAAAAGTGATGCAGCATTCATCGGATCAGCAGCAATGCACCTCACCAAAGGCCGTGCCCGTGCGGCATAAAAAATAAATGACCACCATCTAGAGAATAACTTGTCAATCCCGCTTTTGCCATAGCGTCGGCCATACCATTGTGGCTGGCTGGCTGTCCCTTTTTTCCCATATGTATAGGGTAGGGGAGGTAAGATAGTAGGTTGCCCCCAATACCAGGTTGAGAGCAACTTTCGTAGGAGATATAACATCTCAATACCGGGTTAGTGACCAAATTGTAAAGTTTTAGAAATTGGTGATTAAAGTAGGATAATTGAATAGTTTAATGATTTATTGGAAATATGATGAAGGTTATTTAGTAATTATGGAATGAATTAAAGGGTAAAATGATCAATTGACAAGTAAAATTTTTATATTTCTTTTATAAGATAAGAAACCACGTGGAAAATGAGAATTATCCAGAGTTTTCTTTCTTCTTCTTCCTCCTCCCGTATCTCCAAGCTCAAAAGTGAGTTTCTTTGTTTATGGGTTAATTGTTGATTTTAAGGTTAGGTTTTGATTATTAGATGATAACTAAGCTTAAGGAAAGCTTAAGTTATCTTAAAATCAAAGTATGATGGAGTTAGGAGGGATTAAAGATTTGGGGTTCTTGGATAAAATCTTGAAATAAAGTTCATTACTCAAATTGGAAGATAAATTTGACTTGTCAAGGGTTAAATTAAGATATATGAAGTGATAAAATGAGTTTTGAAACATGTTGGAAATCTGGTATAATTCCTGAAGTTAATAAAGAGGAGAGGATATTAAGGTTCAAGACGAGATAAATGAATATAAATGAGTTTAAATAGGAGTAAGTAAGTTAAGAATACGAAATGGAATGATATATGAAGTAATTAAGTTGAAAAGAGGGGATTTTCGGACATAAATTGGATTTATGGGCTATGTGCATCGATGCACATTCAAGGTGCACCGATGCATCAAGGGTAAATTTCCAGAAATTGTTCAGTGTGTATCGATGCACAGGAAGTGCATCGATGCACCCTTAAAAATGGAAACATCGAATGCAATTTATGCATCGATGTATAAGGAATGCATCGATGCACTTCAAGGGAAATAGAATTATACCTTTCTTTTGGTCTACAAAATGATAGATTGGAGTATATCAATTGGATACTGATATGTATCAATGTATGATCATATAGATATCGAGCACGAACAAGTCCCAGAACGATTATCAAGTCAAGATTCGATCGAAAGAGATGAAAGCATAAAAGTGGATTGGAACTTAGTGAGGCTCAGGTGAGTGCATACAAGTTAGTTTATGATGTTTAATGGAAATAAGACTTGCGACGAGTCTATTACCTATATTAGAATGCATTAATTTATGATCATAGGCATATGTTTGATTTGGGTATATGTGATATATATTACAATATGTGTTAAATGATTGTGTGAATACATGTATTGTGATAAGTATAGGAATTAATATGAATGGTCTATATGATTACATGGGAATGTGAAATAGGTTATATGATAGGTGACCATACATGTTAATAGTATACGTGATCAATTATAAGAATCAATATAATAGATTTATATGACTACATGAGAAAGGTGATGAGTTAAATAAGATTAGACTATAGAGTAATATAAGAATAATATATTAGTGAAGGAAATTGAGTATAAATGATGATACCAAACCATAAGATAAGTATTTACTTATAGGATAATATGATATTATATGAATATAAAATATAACTTTATGGGGAAGAATTGAGTGTTATATGATTTAGGTATGGAAATGATCTAGGTGTAAGTAAATTACGTGATTATGTGACTATGTGTGAAATAGAGTAAACTAGGAAAGTATAAGGTATGTAAATATATGGTTATGGAACAAAGTATGTAATAATACAATGTTATTTGAGTTATTTAACAATAAGTTATAAGATTACATGCATATGTAACGTAACTTATAAGATAAAAAATATGGGCTTACATGTATTTGAGGATATATATATATGAATAAGGTATGATATATGTTTATGTAAAACCATGCAAAGTGATAGGAGAAGGGAACTACATGATTATGTGATCATATGAGAATGAAATAAAGAGCCATGTGATATATGCCATGAGATATATGAAAGAAAAAGTATATATGATAAGTGAAAGTGAATCAAATGATTATATAAAGATGTTCTACGTGTATGTGTGATTTATATGGAAATGAACTACTTGACTACATGTGATCTTATAAAAATGTAATAAAAAGACTGTGTATATGTGAATGTGTGATAACATAAAGATTAATGCCCATGTTATGTGTCATGAGAGCTAGAGGTATAGTTGGCATGCCAAGAGTCGAGGGTCTACGCGGTCCTTCGGGACATATATGTATTCTTCGGAACATGTGTGAGGTCTTTTGAGACACATAGTTGATCCTTGGCATATGTATATGATTCTTAAGGAATGATATGTGGTCCTTAGGGACAACCTTATATGGCACTTCGGTGCATTTCTACATGGCACTACGGTGAAATTCTACGTGGCACTTCGGTGCATTTATATGAGCTGTGGTGAGAGCATTAGTGCACAACCTCTATAAACTCACATATCTATAGTTCTCAGAAATGTACATGGGCTAGACAAAGATATAACAATAAATATATTACATGTGAAAAATATGCTTTTGTGATATATGTTGATATGTGTATTGCACGAGTCATATGATGATATGTGTATTGTTTGGTTACACGAAGCATGTGTTGGTTAACAAGGTTAAGTTCAATAGGATATGATCAACATAGATAAATGATAGTAATATGAATAGTGAAATAAGGCTAATGATAGAAATGATGAGTGAGGAATATATGTGTGTATATGTTTTTATATGTAATGATATATATATTGCATATGTGTTATAGGGATTTGTTACATGAATAAGGGTATGAGTGATAGTAGTAATGGTTCATACATGATTACAAGCTATAGTTTATATTTTATGTTTATTGCCTCACTAAGTCATCGACTTAGCGTGTGATTGTTTCACACGTAGGTTACCAAAGTGAGAGAGTAAAGAGCAATGTGGAGCAAGACATGTCAGTTCTTCTTACCAAAGGTCAGATCAAAGAAAGGTGAATAATATGTATTTTAATACATAAATTTCTAGTTGGCATGTATTCAAGATAATATATTGTATAAGCTATGAATAGTTCGATAAAGGTTTTGAATAAGTTATATGTAATAATAAATTTTAAATTACTCACTATTTTATACAAGTAAAGGTTTTTGAAAAGTCAATGTGACACTTCAGACTCGGATCCGGGTCGGATACGGTTGGGGTGTTACAGGAGACCTTGAATTATGAAATGCCCTCCGTGGAACTCAATACCACGACCTCAAGGTTAAGAACCTTGTGCTCTACCAACTGAGTTGGATGGTCATTTCTAATAGGATATGTAATGATCAAAATGAATATATCAAATTTTATGTTAAAATAAATTCTTATTTAAGACTTTAATATAATTATATGTATTTGTACATTAATAATTTTTTTATAACATAAATAATTAAAATTTTAATTATTATGATATAGATAAAATCATATCAATAATTACTTAATTAATCATTATTATTTTCGATTAATTATCACTTAAATTGTTATAATTATATACCAACTAAAATTAAAATTTATTATACTAAATAACATGAATTATATAACAATTTAGAAAATATCCTTAAAATACTACTGAATCCTAAAATTTATAACAAAAATAAGATAAAAAAAGAAAAACCTATAAATTATCATGTTTTTGTAAACATGGTACATCTGGTTCAACCCTTCTATTTTTAAAGCCATGAGCATTGAGGCATGAAGTGTGGGCATTTTCATCTTTATATTTCAAATTGATGTCTTTCATGATGATATTTTTGCATGGGACGGATTCGCTGCATGAAATTTCAACTGCTATTTTTTTATTTGATGTGCCACGGATGTCTTCATACGTTACATTGTTAATCTCCACATTCGATGTCTGCAAATAATCATTAAAATTAAAAGTATTTTATATTTAATTCATATATGATAGGATTTTAACTTCACAAACGACATAAAAAATCATTACATACAAGTTTTCTTGTAAACCTATTAACCAAGTAATATAATAATTATGAATACATTCTAAAAAAACAATAAAGTAATTACTTATACCTGTCACGTTTTTATTCTGACTCCATTAGTTGTTTTATGAAAAGTAATATTCTTTATGTGAACATATTCAACTTCTTTGGTTCTTCCATTAATCCCAAGACTTCCAATGCTTCATATCTCAAAAAAATGTTAGAAATTAATTTCATTAAGAAAAGAAAGATCATTGCAAAAAGAAACCTGAAACTTTCTTACCTAATTCCATGACCCGGACCACACTCGATTTTAGTAATGTTAATGTATTTAGAACCATTTCCGATTGAGATACAATCGTCACCTATATTAATAGACAAAACACCAACACTAGAATATGTATATAATGGAATAAAATGAGTAAATAAACAAACAAACCAGTTTGAATGTTGGAATTTTGAATAGAAATAATGGTGGAATGTTGAATATGAATGCCATCGGTGTTGGGACTTGTCTTGGGGGCTATAGTAAGCTTAGTAGCATGAACCAAAGTAGATCTTTCCAATGCTATGTGCTTTTGTGGACTGTCTTCAAAGGTTAATCCACTAATTTTTACATTATTAGAGTCTGCAATCACCAAACCCTAAAAACAAGAAACCCACGTGAGAATATATCTGTCATATATCACCAAACCCTAAACCCTAAGAAAGGGAAGAAATCCCACGTGATTTTCATGTAACCACAGAATCTATCTTCCATAAATCATGTTTAAAAACTTGATATTCGAACACTTACTGTGGGTTTTTGACTTGGACAGTTTTTATTCTTATTTTTGCAAGAAATTGTCCACCATTTAGAACCCTGGCCATTGATGATACCAGATCCTTGAATTGAGAGACCATCGAATTTTTTGAAGCTAATCCAATGATCACAATCTGGCCTGCATTGCCATGCAGACGGTTTGCTTGGGGTTATGATTTTGCCATCAATCTACAGCACAGAGTTTTCTCAAATCCTAAGAAACAGTTTGTAATTAACACATTGAATCCAAGAGAGGGGAATACGTACCTGGAAAGTAATATTATTGGAATTGCAATATTTGGCATTGAAACTTAAGGGCTGCAGCAGGAACGTCTTTCCTTGAGGTACAAGTAGCGTTGGTGACGAAGCTGAGGAATCGCAAGCAACATGCCATGCTTGCATAAAGCTCTATATTTTATACAAACACACATATAGTTTATAATAAGATAGTTGCTTTCAGTATCAGACATATAAACATAAAAAGAAAACGAAAAAGCAAACATGAGAATCATCATTAATTCCACTACGATAGCTCCAAAGTCGATGACGTTAAATGTATCGACATCAATCTTCTTCTTCTTCGATTTGGAGTGTCGAGAAGATTCAGTCAATATGGCAGATTGAATCAAAAGAACAAACAAGAGGATTTTCAAAGTTGAAGCCATCTTCTTGATCAACTCTTTCCAACGTAATCAAGAAATTTAAGTTAAGATAGATTCTTAATTTTTTTAGTTTGTATATAATATAGATTATTTTGGTGATTAAATGTGTTAACCACTAAATTCACTTGATTGGTTTTTTTTATCAATAATTTTAATGACAATAGCTTTACATTTAAAATTTTAATGACTAAAATGAAAATGCATTAGAACTTTAGTGACTATGAGTGTAGTTTACTCTAAAAGAAAATAAAGTTTGGGCTTCCATACCCATACTATCCCCCCTTTTATCACCAAAGAAGGACAAACCGAGTATTTTGAGTCCAATAAAATAATTCAAGCCCAATTTAAATTAAACACGATTTAACTAATTTTCTTGAATATATTTTATAAATTTTAAGTTTAATAGTGAATTTTAGTTTTATTTATATTATATTATTTTATATTCGTGAAGTAGGTGAAGGAAAATATTTTATATAGAAATATTTTTATAGAAAGTAATTCAACAAATTATCATACACAAGGAACACAAATGAATCGAGTTTCGTAGTCTTAGGATTTTATTTTCGAATAAAAAAGATTATTTTATATTAAAATTGTTGAATGAATAGATAAAGAACACAAATGATTCACATAAAAAACATTATTTTATCATCATTTTTATATTATATTGTATTTAATTCAATTTGAGTAAGCATATTTGACTAATTGATTAAGTTGTTCATCTTTATTCTCTCATATTTTTTAGGTTATGGGTTTTAAATCCACCAAGAGCGCTCTTCTTTCTTCGTCTAAAGTTTCTCTTTCATTCCCTCTATATAATATTAGAATTAAATTTAAAATTAGTCGAAAGAAACTTTCATAAACAATCCTAATTTAGATGATAGGGACAAGAGATTCATTATAACTAGATTATGCATGTTTTACTTTTTAAAAACTAAAGTAAAATTTTGAACTTAGATATATATTATATTAATTTTTCAAATGAAATAATTATTTTTTAAATAAATCATAAAATTAAAATTAAATAATCTTGATAAAATATAAAAAAATGTATGTCGAAATATTATGAGAAATCATGTGAATTTTTAATAGTTTGAGATGATTATAATGTAATATATGTTTGTAACTTTCTTAATTAATTGACAACGCATATATTTTGTAGGCAAAACTACTCGAATTTGTATCTCTTAGAAAGAATTATATTTTCTTTTACCAAAGGTCATTCAATGGGTTCAAAAATTATGTGAACTTAAATACAATAGTGTAACAAATTTTATATAGAGAAATTAAATTAGAATAAAATGATTTTTTTGGTTATTAAAATTTTAAAAGTTTTGAAATAATTATTAAATTTATGGAATTGTTATGAAACGAATATATTATATTATGAAATAGTAATAAATTTCGATAAGTTTAATAATCATTTTATAGCTTCTGAAACTTCAGTAGCTAAAAAGACTATTTTATCAAAGTTAAGTGATCATTTGTATAATTTAAGCCTTATATTTTATAGATTAGATTATAGCGTAACTGATTATGGTCTTCTTATAGATCGAGTACCTTCGCAAGAAAAGTCATTGGTCTTCGCTTCAACGATGGACTCCATTGCCAAACAAGTCTTGGTCTTTACCGACCACGTATCCAAGAAATTAATGTTAAATTCGTTGAACCCTCCAACACCTCCCTCCTCATCGTCAAAGAGGGAAAAATGCATCAGAAACTGAGAGAAACCTTGCAAGAAATCGAAGACGATGATATCCTGAAGCAACTCATCGGATGGTTTCAGGATATCGTCGACGGAACCATCGGCCAAGAATTGGAAACCCGATCTCTCCAAGGACTGCGCATCACACATGCTAGGAAAGGATTTTTACGATCCGAGTTCGCCGTACCCAGTCTCGCCGCTGTAAAAATAATCCGATCTCAACTACACAATAGCTTTCGATTTGTTTTCTTCAGTATCTATACCTTTTTTTTCTCATTTTTTTAGGATGTTGAAGGGAATTGGCATGGAGGAGCTATTGCGATCTTGATGGATGCCGTGGGAGCGGTTGCTGTTTATTCAGCTTTCCATCATGTCGTCAAATCAGTTGATTTCAGCATTTCGCATTACTCGACGGCTAAGATTCAGGTGAGTTAATTCGGTTAGACATATTTTTTAGTTTATCTAAATATTACTTTAATATTTATTTTTTAATATTTAAATATTAAGTCAAAATATTTCGTATTAAATAAAAAAATTTAATTAACTAACTGTTAATACATGATATCATTGACATCTTATTTTCACATATACTTAATTATTAACAAATCATATATTACATTTAATCAAAATGATGATATAATACATATCATATCATCCTAAAGTTATTATATGGCATGTATCATATCGTCATAGTATTAAATTGTGGTTGTAACACTATGTAATGATCTTATTGTAATATCTTTCAAGATTATCATGATACCACGAATCATATATATAACATAAAGATATAGTTATTTTAAGAAATAAATCAATTCGTAATGTTTATAATATCCAAGACCACAACTGTAACCGTAATTTATACATGTCATCCATAAAGAGATTTTGGTTGTGCAGGATGAGGTAGTGGTGGAAGCGAAGGTTGTGGGAAATCACGGCAAGGTTGTACAGGTGATGATGGAGGCTCGAATGAAAGGAAATGGTGAGCTAATTGCTTTGGGAAAAATGTGGGTGGCTTTGAATAATTTCGCCATCACTACTGCCAGTAAGCTTTGAGAATCCACCCTTAATATTTATGTTTCTTTACATCTACCATCATGAATAATGTGGTCATTGCTATAGTTTAAAACAATAGGATTATAGGAATATGGAATCTATGGATATGGATTACTCTTCTGCAAAACATAAATTTACAACACTCTCCTTATTTTTTTATAATTTAAAAATATACTCGAGTAAAATTAAATTAGACCTTTTAATTTTAATTTATTTTGATTTTGCCCTTTCATTTTTATGTTTAATTATAATTTATACTTTTTTTCGGTAAAATATACTTTATCTACTTGAACTGATATATTAATTTTGTCCCTGATTGTTTTGGTCTGTAACTATATAATTTGAATCCTTGATTTTCTAGTCTCTTTGATCCCTTCTTTGTTTTAGGATAATTTATTTTTTATCAAATTGAATCACATTCAAGATAAAATATTTATATAGTTTTATTTCTTCTTTTCGATAATATTTTTTTATTTTAAATATTTTTTTTAATTTCTTCAAATTTTTTTTGTTTGATCAAATTTGTATCACACGTGTCTTTCTCATTATTGAATATCTATGTAATTTTAATTTTTTTACAACATATTTTCTGTTTTTATAATTTATTCTCTCAACTTTATATTTTGTTTAATTTGATCCTTTATCCACGGTAATTCATTGACTCTTTTATATTCCTATCAATAACTTATCTTGAAATTTTCATTTTTCTTTCATATGAAAAATAACATTATATATATTATATGTTTTTATATTATATTTGATTTATTAAAAAATATTACAAATCATGCTTAGACATGTGAAAAACTCAATATATATATATATTATATGATTAGAGAGGATTGTTTAAATTAAAATCAATGAGTATCATAATATTATAAATAATTACATTTAAATTTGAATATAAATTGATATTCGTAAACTTAACTAACTCAGTTTTTTTCAATCGACTCAACTCGATTAATGCTCACCTCAATGAATGGACATGGGCCCTCACTCAACGTGTTCCGACACTGCTCTATAAAGTTAAAGGTTCGAGTTGAATTTTTTTAAAAGACAATTAAATCAATTCAAATTAAAGGTGAAAAAGAAAAATCTCCGACAATAGATATTGCCAAAACAAAAACGAGGCAGGCAAATCCAAGGCCGAAATTAGTCCATCTCCAAATGTTAGCACTGTGTCAGGTTTATTGCTCCTCTTCTTATACATAATCTTCATCGACGACATCCGAGGTCGATCCATAAGATCTGCTACAAATGATGTAATACAACACATTGAGGAAACTCAACCCTGAAAGAAGCAAGTAATATAGTCGAATCGAGCCTCGTTAAGGTTCTCCGCAACCAAACCGGGGTTCCCACCTCTTGCGCTAGTGTGGTTCACTATGTTAAACAGAACACTAAACATGTGAGCCAACGACAAGGACAGAAAGAACAGTGAATTAGCAATGCTAGACATGGTCTTCGGGAACACTAGGTGATAAAACTCGAACTGCCCGAGCATACTCAAGCCTCGGCGATCCCCCATCACGATGTACTGCGGGAGAAGCCACATTGCAGACATGTTTACCATTGCATCAGGATATTTTACTAGACCCTCGTGGTTTGCTTTGTGTAATCTTACATTCTCAACCATTGCAGTTAGTCCCATGGCTATGACAGAGAGTAAAAGACCCAATCCCATCCTCAAGTAGACACTGAGATATACTTGTTTACCCTTGATCTTCGACGCGAACGGAATTATAGCACGTTCATACAGGACAACCCAGAACATAATTGTTACATAGATGAAGACGGTTAATGAGGCTGCTGGTATGTTGAAGCCTCCGTAAAATTCCCTATTCATAGTACTAGCTTGGAGCACGGGAAACGAGTGTTGGCTTCCGGCTATTGACATCATGATCCCTGTAGACCATATCGGTATGACCTTAAGAAGTGCTTTAAGCTCTTCGACTTTCTGCGCGGTGCAGACTCTCCAAGGGTCATCCAAGGTTGATCCAAACGAGCGATCGGCATCTCTGATGATGCACGCTTTGTTCAAAAACCTTAGTTTCTCACTCGGCACGGTAATCTTTGAATTGGCTCCATGATGGTAACCTGAATTTTCAGATGGGATTGGGAGTTTTCCATTCTTATAAGAAACCACAAGAACTTGCAGAAAACCAGTGAAGAGGCTGGTGCTAGCTTTCTGCTTAACATAGAGCGGAGAAGCAATGTAAAACGCCACAGCTGCAAGAAACATTATAAAAGTGCATATTCCATAGCCCACGGTCCACCCATATGTCTGTATAATATAAACGACAACTGTCAAACCAAGAGAACCACCGAGGGATGCAGCGGCATAATACCAGCCAACGTAGCTCTCGAGGCTCTTTTGGCTTTTGTTGCTCAACTGATCTGCACCGAACGGCATCGAACATGGCCTGATGCCCCCAGCTCCGATTGACTTGACAAACAAGGCACAAACTAGTATAAGCATTTGGCCTGGTGTTGCACATTTACAGGTCTTATTAAGTAAGGGAGTCTGAAAGTCCAAAATTAAAAAGAAAAAACAGAAATTTGAATTCGAGTATTCAACCACTTGTCCCAAACATTTGATTGATATTGAACTGATATTTGGTTTACATGAACAATGGGAACAAAATTCTGGTTTGAAATGTGTAGCTGAGAGATAAATGAGATATTGTTGTTTGTTTTCATGAGACTGAAGAATTGGAGAATTCTTAAAGAATTTCCTGTGACTCAAAACTATGGGTATTCGTTTGTTTAATTCCATTAGTAAATTAATTGAATAACCATTAACCAATTTTCTTTAAAAATATAAATTTAATAAAATATAAACTGATCAAACTGAAACTATTTAGATTTATTAAACAGGTTAATCAAAGTAGCCAAATTTTAATTATTTTACATAATTTTTGGTAACTTAAATATTTAAAGTTTTATAATTCAATTCAATATAATAACTATTAAAAAAACTAAATATAATAATTCCACAAATATTTAAAGGTCACGCATAAGTATAACTCTTCAACTCGGGAATTTAAATAGTTTAAGTATAATTAAATTTAATCTATAAAATAAAAACTATTTTATTTATAAATAATATTATTATAAATTAAAGATGATTATTTAATATATTGTTAATGAAAAACTTTCATAAACATCCTTAAGATGTTGATATTAAAATATAATTGTCACAATTATTGACTATTCACTTTTTAAAATTTAGATGAAGAGTCGCAATTAATAATTTTATGAAAGAGATAAAGAACAAAATAAATAAAAAAGATAGTGAATATTGAAATTGTTGACGAGAGTTATGAATCTCTTCTCCAACCATGACAAATAGATATATTTCATATATCAAATTTTGCTCTAATATATTACTTGAGTCTATTAGTGGTCATGTTAAACGATTGTGGATGTTTGAAGAATATAAAACTATGAAGGCTTCAAAAATTACAGAGACTTTGATCAACAGACGAATTCTTTTAAAGATCTCAATTGATGAATGATTAATAATGAAAATACAATCTGTAAAATATTATATTTACATAAGTAAATTTATAAAATAAATAAATATGTCTCATCATCACTATATCTCCTCTCGAAATTAATATATGTATAAATATTAAATAGTTTGAGAAGATTATAATGTAGAATTTGTTTAAAATATATCTTAATTATTAATAATATATACATATCTTGTAAACACAGTTGTTTAAACTCAAAATTTATAATAATAATACTCCTTTTAATCACTTATAAATATATGGTCTTTAAGCATATCTTTCTTTGCCTACTTTATTTCTAATAAATATTCAAACTATATTTCATTTTTTATTTAGGTGGTTTAAATTTATTTTTATTAATGTAAATTTCAAAAGTTAATATTTTAAGTGTTTTGATCGTAACATACGTTAAAAAAATCTATTATCAAACATGTGTCGTGTTTATATTTTTTGAAATATTATTTTTTTTAAATATAAAAATATTATTATTTAAAAAAGTCTAAAAAAATTCTAAGATCTCAAAAACACTCAAAAACATTTTAAAATTTTTAATTTCAATCCCTTATTGATCTTGCCCGCCACCAACGTTATCGATCGACTACCACCAACAGCAAAAATGAATGTGGAGATAACATGTTCGTTGTTTCCACCCAAATATTCGTCGACGACTGACGATTATTGATTAGGATTTATGGATTGGGTATTTGAGATTTTAATAAAGATATTTAAAATATATTAATTTATATTTTTAAAATATAATATAACACTATTACTTTAATAAATTATTAATATAATTTATAATATTTTTATTTCAATAAAATATACCAATATTAATATTTTTATTAATAAAATTATAAAAGTAAAATTTTAATAATAAATAAATTATTTTAATATTTTAAAATAATAATATTAAGTTTTATGATAAATAATATTATTTATTGTATTTAATATTTGTAATAAATAATTTTTTTTAAAAAAATCATCAACTAGCGGAAAAAATGTTTAAACAATATCTGCCAAACATCGTAAAACGTTTTTCAAAAAATATTTTTCAGAAAATATAATTCATTTTACGGAAAACATTTTCCGAAAACGTTTTCAATGAAACAAACGGAATCTTAGTGTTATTGATTGCCTTAGTGATCGAGGAAACTATGTCGTTTTATTTTTTTTTCCGACTGATTTGCAGCATTGGTTAAGCAATCGGAATGCAAACAGCCGAGTCGATATCGATGCATATCGACACTGGAGTAAACTGAAGAGTTAGAATCAAACATTGAATAAGTTGTGTGATCTTGTAGTTAAACTCAGCATTTAACATATGAATGTTCAATGTGGACAACATTGGGTAGTTCATGAAGTGCAATTTTCTCACTTTTTATTGTTAATTTCAGTCATATGTTATAACTTATTTAACAGTCATAAATCTATGTAACAGTAAAATAGTTTTACATTGTGTAACAGAATCTTATCTCTATTAGGGTTAGGTTCACTTACACAATTTAAAATTCTTTTAGCTTTATACAGATTTAGCATCCTTGGATAAGTGAAAACAAATGGTTGGGATTGACTCATTGTTTTGTTTTTTTCCAGTGAATATCTTCTCATTTCCTACTGTTAATCTCAGTCATCTACTTTCACTCATCCAACAGTCTTAAATATCTGTAAAACTAAAATAGTTTTACATTGTGTAATACGATCTTATCCCTATTAGGGTTAGGATCCACTTACATAGTGTAAAACTCTTTTAGTTTTACATAGATTTAGAGCCTTTGGATAAGTGAAAACAAATGTTGGATCGACTCCTTATTTTTTTCAGTGAATATCTTCTCATTTCTTACTGTTAATCTCAACCATCTATTTCCACTCATCTAATAGTCATAAATATGTGTAAAACTAAAATAGTTTTACATTGTGTAATAGGATTTTATCCATATTAGGGTTAGGATCCACTTACACAATGTAAAACTTTTTAGTTTTACACAGGTTTAAGACTGCTGGATAAGTGAAAACAAATGGTTGGGATTGACTCCTTGCTTTTTTTCCCATTGAATATCTTCTTATTCCTATTGTTAATCTCAACCATTTATTTCCACTCATCCAACAGTCTTGAATCTGTGTAAAACTAAAATAGTTTTATATTGTAACATATCTTATCCCTTCATATTATATTAAAATATATAGGATTAATTGAAAAATAAGTATCCATATAATTTTATTTTATTTTTATCTTGGGTTATTAAAAATTTCCTGATTAAAGTGGATGCATAATGTTTTCAAATATATTATTTAAGGAGTTTGGACGTTAACAACCGTTAAAAATTCATTATCCAATCAGTGTGGACCTGTAACATTTTTTAATTTTATTTTTTCAAAAAATCCTAAGGAATCCTAAAATTCCTAAATTACTAAAGAATTTTAAAATTTCTAGCCCTAAATCTCTAAATCTCATATGATATAGTCGAATCAACTACCATCGGTAATCTTCTATCGTTGGATTCCTATTGATCGATAGTCGGCCCATAAATCTTGTCATATAAAATCATTTTTTCATCCCATCACATGTTCATTTTCATCGTTTAGGTTACACCGTCGTCGGAACCTTTAACCGCCTTTCGTCGCCTGGTCTAATCTTTAAGGTTATTTATGGATTTATGAATTATGGATTTGAGAAATTAGATAATTTATGGTTTTTTAGAAATTTTGAAATTCAATTTTTTAGAAAATTATTATATCACATGTCAAGTAACTTGTTGGTTGACGAATTTTTGACGAATTTTCATAATATCATCGATAGTATAACCTTAAAATGATAACGAAATAAAATTTTAGACACTTTAATTGAAAACTTTATATTTATTTTGATAGAAAAAATGTAAATTACACGGCTGAACATCAATGAGATAAGGAGGTTGACGATGAAGCCATTTTGAAGATAAGGAAGTTGAGAATCTCCTTTGAAAAGTATATGAAAGTCCCTCTAGAATGAGAGAAATAACACCCAAATTTTGAACCCACCACACATTGCCATCCATCCCCATATTTGCTGTCAAACTCCTGTCATCCCAAAATATTCAATCAACTTCAAACCATGCAAAAAAATACACAGAAGACGTACAAAAAAGAAGAAGAAGACCTTTTGATGTATCCAGCAATTGATTTGTAGTCAGATACATCATGGTGATCAAAGCTTGAGAAGCAGAAGACATAGCATGGATTTGCATCTCCAATGGCATATCTGTGTCTTCCACCAATGCCTTCCCTTCCCTTCCCTTCCCATCTTTCCTCTACTTCTCTTTTGTCTCACAAAGAAACAAAGATTCCTGCTTTGGGATTTTTTGCCTCAAATTCAGTTCCAAAAGTAGCAAAAGATGAAGGGCTTTTTTAATATTTTTCAGGGCATATATTAAGTACAAACATGGTAATATTAGGGTGGTAGGCTGCTACATTTTGCCAACGCTTTTGTGCTTATCCCTCTGTAAGCCCTTTTTTATCCTTCCGTTTTCTTTTATTTACTTTTCATTGCCCACAAGGATAACCCCTTTTCTCCCATTGCCTACTTGTTTTTATTTAATTGTCGATTAAAGTAGGGGTAAATATTTGATTGAATCAAGTTTAAAAAATTAACTAAAATAATAGTTTACGAGTTTTATCTTATTATTCACATTCTATTTAAAAAAATAGTCATATTTAATTTATAAAATTTGAGTGAATCAAATCAAATATATATTCGAATTTATATTTATATTTAAATATAATTATTTATATTATTATTTTTTGGTATAAATTATTTATAATATTATGATATTGATTAGTTTTAATTTATTGACTCTTTAATCATAATATATATATATTACACATGTAAAATAAAATTTATAATATTTAATAAATTAAAGCGTTTGAAATTATGTAATATATCTATAATACTATTTTGGGGATATCATGTGTTATTAACTCGATGATAAAATTTATTAAGCGGTTTTATGGTAAAAGGATATATTGTTTTTTTTTAAATTTTGAATTCGAATAACTATGTCTGCAGAATATGTATATACTACCAATAACTAAGATTCTGAACATATATTACTTATAAACTATAAAATAAGGTTGCATATTAAAACAAATAAAAAATAAAAATGAAACAAGGTTGCGTATTAAAATGAACCCTAATAGAAAATAGAATCAATAGTTTATATGTCTCCAAACTATAACCTTCATTTTAAATTGGTCTTTAAACTTTTGAATATTTCAATTTCATCCTTAAATTATGAATCTCATTTTAAATTAGTCCTTAAACTTTAAACATTATAATTTCATCTCTAAACTATGACCCTCTTTTTAAATTGGTCACCAAACTCTTGAATATTTTAATTTTATTCCCAAATTCATTCAAATATGTAATTAGTTTCAACCATAATTTAACCTAATTTTTTTCAAACATATAATAATATAACTTAGCCTAATGATTTAATAAAAAATGGATGTGATTATCATATACATATAGTTTGGGATGAAATAGGAATGTTAAAAAAGCTTGGGGATCAATTTAAAATGAAGATCATATCATGAGGATGAAATTGAAATGTTTAGAAGTTTGAGGACTAATTTATAATGGTAATCATAGATTGGAATATTTAAAATTTTAGAGGCCAATTTAAAATGGGGTCATACTTTGAGGACATGTGATATAATTAATTCTAGAAAATAAAAATGATTTGAATAGAATAAATTATTTAAATTTTATATTAAAATAATGGTAAATTACAAATTTCACTGCTGAACTTGACTCTCTCTCCTACTTTGCTTATTAAACTTTAAAAGTTTTTAATTTCCTCACTGAATTTAATACATTGGATTTTTTGTCACTCCACCGTTAAATAGTTAACGGCATTAAATGACGTTGTTTTGAAAAAAAAATACACCAAAATGATGTTGTTTTGCATTTATATAACAACTCATTTATAACGCCGTTAGTGATAAAATGGTTGAGTGATAAAAAATAATGTATTAAGTTTAGTGACAAAATTGAAAACTTTTATAGTTCATTGAACAAAATAGGAGAGATAAAGTTAAGTGATGAAATTTATAATTTACCCTAAAATAATAGTGGGCTCGAGAACCTTTATCAAAAGTTTGCGTGGCGAGGAGTATTTTTTTTATTTGTGGTGTTAAATTAAACACCCGATAATAGACTAAAAGTCTGGAATAAAATTAATTAATCAATGCACCAACTTTACCCTAAAAATAATATAATAAAGCAATTTGTCAAGATAATTAATTAATTAATATAGTTTCGTTCGAGTTGGAAGAAGAAACAAGGGTAAAAGTAGTTAAGTAAAGGAATCTAATCAAAAGTAGGTAGTTTGAATGTTTCATATACCTTTTAATTCTTTTTTAAAATTGTACAAGATCTTAAACTTTTCTGATACAATTAAATATTTAAATTTTTTAATCTAATTAGATAATTGAATTTGAGTTTCTTTGTTTAAATTAGTATCTAAACATCATTTTTGTTCAATCTAATATTTACAGTAAATAACTTATACATATCTAAATTATAAAGCTAAAATCAAATATCAATATAAAATTAAAATCAAATTTAGATATTTATTAGATTATAAAAATTTAAATACCAAATTAGACATTATCAGATTTATAAACCTAACCTCACAAAAAATTTGGTATCAAATTACATTTACAAATTGATAAAATATATATTGGTACAGCTACTTTAATATATACAAATACAATAAACTATAGGGTACAACTACATATTTAGTACATCAACTATCACTTTTTTTTTTTGGTCATTTAATTTTTTTTTTAAATCATACCTATTATTTAGCTTTAGTTTCATTTTTATCATCCGTCATTAAAAAATACGGTGATGCTGACATGTCACAATAAGATAATGTCATATTATCATTTAAAAATATATATATAATGTTGGTAGTTCTATTATTTTTTAACGATGAGTGACCAAAATGAAATCAAAACATAATATTAAGCATGATTTAAAAAAAATTAGTTAGGTGACCAAAACAGTACTAAAGTAATAGTTAGAATACTAAACATGAAATTTACCCTCGATTATATATATATATATATGTCCAAAACAATATTTTAATTTAATCTCAAAATACAAAAACTATTTGCTGCCGACACTTATTCCCGAACCTACAACTCAGTGGCAGTGCGAAGTGCTTGCTACGGTCCCAAACCCAAACCTCTTCATCAATTTCATCATCCTTTATTTATTTATTTTAATTTTACATATTTTTTCAAAAAAATAATTTTATATATAAAAAAACTAACGGCTTTAAATACATATAAAAATATTAAATAAAAAAGGCTTATATTTAACGAATATAAAAATATTGAATAAAACATATGAACATAAAAGTAATATGACAAACATGATTAAATATAATAAATTTTAATATACTCAACTAGGGATGGGCATGAGATCCGAACCCGACGAGTTTCGATCCGACTCGATCGGGTCAAGTTTTCTTAAAAGAAATCGGAGTTGAGTCAGATCGAGTTTTTTTAAGTGTTATGTTCGGGTCGGGTCGGGTTTAGGGTGAAAAATACTCAACCCGACCCGACAAAAATATATATTTTTACCTTATATATATAGAATAATTACAATAATACTTCTCTATATATAAATTGTTTCAATTAAGTCACTGCTTTTATTGAATAAAAATAATATTTATTATTATTTCTGGTTGAGTCGGGTTTCTAAGCTATATATCGGGTTAGTTTCGGGTCGGGTGAATTTTTTTTGGTCAGATCTCAGGTGGAGACTCTCTTGTTCTTGAATAAATTGGGTGGACCAAAAATCCGACTCACGCCCATCTCTATATCAACAATCTGATTACATAAATAATATAAAATTTTAGTTATTTATTATTTGAATATTATGAATTCAAATGTAATGGAAATGTAAAAATTAATTATATTTAAGGGTAATATTTAAAAAAAAGGAAAAAAGTTGTCTTTCTCTGGATTACTTTTATTGTATGTATGCAAGCTTAAAAGCCAGACAGAAACAGAGTGAACTGATTTGTTGCTTCTTTCATCATCTTTTTCTAACTCGAATTCTGAGAGTTTTTTTTTCCTTAACCAAAGCAAGATGTTGTCTACGAAATCGGAATCAGATGTCACAAGCCTAGCTCCATCATCGCCGTCAAGGTCACCAAAACGTCCAGTATACTATGTTCAAAGTCCATCTCGAGACTCTCACGACGGCGACAAGTCGTCGACAATGCAAGCGAGTCCCATGGAGTCGCCTTCGCACCCTTCCTCCGTGGGACGTCATTCGAGGAACTCGTCGGCTAGCCGATTCTCGGGGATATTCCGGTCGTCGTCCGGGAGGAAAGGTGGACGGAAGAGGAATGATAAAGGGTGGCCTGAGTGTGGGGTGATAGTGGAAGAAGGGTCGTATGATGAGTTTGAGGATAAGGCCTTCATTAGGCGTTTCCAGGCCTTGATTTCCCTTTTCACTTTTGTTGTTTTGTTTACAGTGTTTTGTCTCATCATTTGGGGCGCCAGTAGGCCTTGCAAAGCTGAAATCCTGGTCAAGGTATGTTCATTCGCTAATCATGCTTTATCTTCAAACATTTGTGAATCATACAATCATCTACTTCACATTTCGAATTCCATTTACAAGAAATTCATTACACTTGATAATAAGAATAGTCATGGATTAGATTAGGTCCAGTTTATAGTTGATCCAATTCAATAATTAAACCACTTCATTTGTATTTGATTTAATTCGATGTAGGAGATTCATCAAATTTGAAACTCGATCAGACTTTTTAGGTCACAAGTCAAAACTAAGTATCCGAGCAACCCAAATATACATAAAAATTCGTTTTTATTAGATAAAATAAGTAATTAATAATAATAATATAAAAAATATTATTATTGTAATTATCTATAAATATATAATGAATAATTATAATTTTATGTGGATCGGATTTTTTTCATTTTAAATTTGAATTCAATTCTATTCAATTGAGGTTGAGTATTTGATCGAGCCGAGTTTGGTAAAAAAATTGAATTAGTCGAGTTGTTCTTATTTTATAACTCAAACTTTATTTGAATTTTTTCAAGTCGAGTTAAGTTTATGAAATTCGAGTCAAGTCGAAGTGCTCGGGTCTGAGTTTGAATTTCGTTGTAAATATTGATAATGCTATGATACTATTTGATTATAATTTAACTATTTTTTTATAACCGTATATGATACACATATATTTCTATAAATTTTTTAATGTGTTATACATATATCATATAGAGTTAAAGAAATTCAACTCGAACTTAAAAATCAGTCAATTAATTAGTAAAAAATTTTAGCTATACAATTTCTATTTTGTAACTTGGCTCGAATTTAAAAAAAATCGAGTCGAGTAAAAAAATTATTATTTTTTGTATGGAGTAGAATTTTGCTTATGTATGCCCAACCGATCTTATCCGAATCTGAATTAGAAAAACAAAACAATTGATGAAGAAAAATGGGAGTCCTGCAGAGCTTTGCAGTGCACAACGTTTTTGTTGGTGAAGGCTCAGATTTCTCGGGGGTTCCAACAAGAATGCTGACTATCAATGGCACCTTGAAGATGAGTGTATACAACCCCGCTACGTTGTTCGGCATTCACGTCAGTTCCAACCCCGTCAAACTCGCGTACTCGGAAATCAACGTCGCAACCGGCCAGGTAGGATTCGTCGAAATCCCGAGCATGTTTCGATTGTAAGCTTGTAATGCAATGACATTAAAGTCTGTATCGAATGGATTGCAGCTGAAATATTATCAGCCAAGGAAGAGCCATAGGACCGTATCAGTGGCGTTGGAGGGGGAAAAGGTGCCACTTTATGGAGCTGGATCAAGCTTGACGTTTACACAGAATGGTGCTGCTGAAGTTCCATTGATACTGAAGTTCGAAGTCCGGTCACGAGGGAACGTGGTTGGAAAACTCGTGAGAACGAAGCACCGGAAACAAATTTCTTGCCCTCTGGTAATCGATTCTATGAAAACCAAGCTCATTAAGTTCAAGAAAAACGCATGCACATAATGATGAAAGTCATGGTCAAAAGGTGCCACTTTATGGAGCTGGATCAAGCTTGACGTTTACACAGAATGGTGCTGCTGAAGTTCCATTGATACTGAAGTTCGAAGTCCGGTCACGAGGGAACGTGGTTGGAAAACTCGTGAGAACGAAGCACCGGAAACAAATTTCTTGCCCTCTGGTAATCGATTCTATGAAAACCAAGCTCATTAAGTTCAAGAAAAACGCATGCACATATGACTGAAAGTCATGGTCAAGATGTTGATTCGCAATCTCCTTTTGTTTGGGTGTAATTTATTTAGTGTTTTGCTTGGTCTTTTGAGCTGTTCCTTGAAATAAAACAAATGTATAGACGACCTAAGAGGTTCTCTGTGCTTGATTTTGCTTAGGAATGTCGATACAGATTTCAAACAAAATAGAGTAAACAATGTGATCACACAATAAAATAAACGTAAGATTTTAAATAAAAAGTGATCGAATCTGAGTGAAACTCTAGTACACCGTAAGAGCAAAGACATTGTTTGCGTAGATTTCCATGGCTTTAAGCTAATGCAGACACCAGCTAGATCTAAACTATTCGGGAAAAATTGTACAAACACAGGAGCTAGATTAAGCATCAAGAAGGATCTTACACACAAAAAACTTGGCCCATAATTGGGTTTTCCTTTCTCCTCTCATCATCCTCTTGATTTTTATTCTTCTTTTGTCTCTTTCTCTTCGATCTTCAAACACTTCAGTTCATCATCTAGACAACCCTTTCCGACCACCGGTTCTCCACCCAGAACCACCCTTTCGTTCGCTTCCTCCGAGTCCGAGGGAGGGTGGGAAGACCCTACAACCACCACTGCGTTAGGGAATGGATCGCCGTCTACGAATCCGGCTTCAACTTCATCATCGGAATGGTAGAGGGTATCGGAACGTGAATTGACGGCGGAGGCAGCTTTGAGGAAGGCCTCGTGTATGGAATCCGGCGGAAGAGCGCAATCCTCAAGACCCGCGTCTTCGAGGCGTGGAGGGAGGATCTCGTCGAGTAACCCCGTGGATTCTCGCCCTCTCGTGGCATCCATGAAACCCTTTTTCAGAATGTTTGAGAAGAATGAGCCTGAAACTTCAAAGAGAAGAACGGGATTTTGTAATTGGAAAATATAGAATGACATGAAACCTTGATTTAAAGACAAATGAAATTTTGATTTTGCATAAAAAAAAGTTGCCTAATTATATTCACTTAAAACTTTTTTTCCTTCCTTTAATCATTTTAATCTCAACATTTTATTTTGAGACAATATATTTTCTTAATAAATAATAATTATTAACATTATAAAGTAGAGATTTTTATCTTAAAATTAAACGTTGATGGCAAAATGTTCAAAAGAAAGAATAAGAGTCAAAAATAATTATTTGGTCAAATATTAAGTGCCTTTTATCATAAAATAAAATATTGAGAGTAAAATGCTTTAAAAAATATAAATTAAAATAATTATTTTAATAAACGCTGAAGGACGAAGTAGGATGGAAGAAATTTTTTTTAATTTTTTTAATACTGAATGTTACTGTTCGTTCAAATATATACCATGCTATGATACCTAAATTTTGATCTGTTGCGATTATATACATGTAACTTTAATTTTGGTTTAATTGTACATATGAAACCTTGATTTTGATTCAATTATATTCAATTTAAAAATAAATTAGTTTCATTTATTTTCATATTAGAAAGATATAATTTTTTGTATACACAATATATAAACGCAAAATGATGTTAAGTCGATAGCAGTTTTAATAACTTGTGAAACTTGAATGAAATCAAAATTTCATGTATAGTATTTCATAATTGCACCAAATTAAAGTTAATGTATAACATACGAATAACTCAAGAGAATGGATTGAAAGGAATACAACAGAAGTTCCATATTTATTCCAGAATGCATAACAAGGGAAGTGGGAGGCATGGTACAATTACTTTTTAACATGACTAGTTTATTACTAATTGTCAGACCCTGCAACTTTAACTGATAGAAATGAGAAATCTACTGCAGCTGTTTGTGCATTTTGATAAAATGAAGCTGCACCTGATGACTCGTTTAACATTCACAGCCTGTAGATCTCTGTGCTCGTCCGCCACTAGCAACATCGATGGTTTCGGGAAGGTAGCTTTAATCATCAAAAAGACCAAGCATTGAAATAAAAACAATTATCAAAGACTCTCCAAGGAAGAACTATAAACTCTAACAACCAAGCAGTTCAAAAACAGAATCATGTTACTCCAATATTGATGTCAATTGCTACACATAGGCCCCATTCATTGTTCAGATTCAGTGCACTAAATAAGTTCCAAACAAATGTCTTGATCTAACAAGCATTCAATTCCAATAGAAGAAGTAAGCTTGTCCATCATAGAAGGTCAGATACATCTCCTAGTGTCAATTTACTCTCTGTTAATTGCTGCTTTAATATTTTATTATATTTCTTTGAAGATAGATGCATCCGTGTAAACATTTTATAAGGCTGCTTCTTTCTTTTAAGAAAACATAGATTTATGCAAATACTTACATTTCTTCTTCAGGTTCATTCTTGAGAGCATTTTTGGCTATGCACTCAAATGCAGCATCGACATTGAATCCTTCTTTTGCAGAGGTCTCAAAGTAAGGAATATCTCCCTTTGAAGCACACCATGCCTTTGCTTTCTTTTCAGAAACCTAAACCAAAGAGAAATAACCTCATTCAACACTAAGAAAATACATTCTCTGCCATATGATACTAAGAAATCTGAAGGGCAAAAAACGGAGGGGAGAAAGGCATGTCAGAAGGTTGGAATACATCTTACCACTCGACTGTTGCCACCATCAACATCAACCTTGTTTCCCAGCACAACAAACGGAAAGTTTTCAGGGTCAGATGGACTCGCCTGAACACTCGACCAAAAAAATAACATTAGTCATTCTTCCAATTATGATATTCTACACGCCATTGGATATAAATTACCTGAATCAGAAACTCTTCTCGCCAGTTGTTAAGATTATCAAAGGACTTCATGACATTAACATCATGCACAAGTACACAGCAATCAGCACCCCGATAGAAAGCCACACCTAAACTTTGAAACCTTTCCTGCCCAGCAGTATCCCATATCTATGCACACAAGCAGAAAAACGAGCATCAGCACTAAGAAGAGTATATAAAGCTCATTACCTCTATTCTCAACCAAACAGAAAATTTTAAAAGTACAGAAAAAGGTAGGCATAGTTTCTACCATTGACGATAGCCACTCAAGGATGGCAAAATCAGAGAATATGCTTAAACAGTTGCTAAAATTCACATTGCATTATCATCATTAGGCACAACAGAAACCAAATTCTATTGCAAACATAAACATAAACATAAAACAATCAACAAATAATTAAAAAAAAAAGAAATTAAAATTTTTTGTACCTGCAATGTAAACAGTCTATCTTCAAACTGAACCTCTTTTGTCAGAAAATCGGCTCCAATCGTTGCTTTGTACTGATTACTGAACTTACGATTAACATACCTGATTCCAATAAAATTAACAGCAACTAATACATCGGAACCGGCAATTGAACATGCAAAATTCAAGAGTTAAATAAAGAGAAAAAGGAAATTTAAGGATTCCAGTTTCAAAGCTTACTGATTCATGAGAGAAGTCTTCCCAACCCTAGAAACAAAAACAAGAATCAAAAGAAAATGTATATTAGACAAAAATAACATCAAAATATTTGTAATCATATTGGAAATGCACAATAATTAATAAAATCTTCAAATTCTAACATGTAAAATAAAGAACACTAAAACGAGAGAAAATGATTATAAAGCTTACCCGCTGTCGCCGAGAATTATGACCTTTAGAAGCATACGCCGACGAGAAGCCATTGGATCGAATTCGAGATCCTAATACGATTTTCAGTAATTGCAGGAAAATTATGAGATATTTTTTAAATCTTTGGTTAAAGAATACAGCGATTATAAAAGAATATAAAAACGATGTAGCTGTTGATTTTATTTGTTTTGTTTTTTGAGAAAACGAAATTGATATATTTTTCAGCGAACGGGAAGACTGGTTGATAACAATACTAACATTCCAAAACTGCCCTTGCGTTCAAGTTCAAGTAACACAAGTTTCATTCTCCATTTTGGGCTTTAATAGGGACGACCATGGGTCGGTTTTTAATCAATCTAATATGACTTAAGAAGTATATCAATCTGTTCGAAATTTTGTCTATTGAAACTTTTGAAGATCTTAATTCTTTTTTTTAGAATTGTATATCATTCGATCAACCACTATCAATTTAGGGATGAATATTCGATTGAGTCGAGTCCTGTCAAGTAAAAATATTTTGAGATATTCGAGTTTACGAGTCATATTTTGTAATTCGAACTTGACTTGAAATTTTTGAGTCGAGTCGAATCGATTAGAGTTGTTCGAGTTTATATACAAATTTTTAATTGTAATTATGTATAGTATTATGATATCGATTCATTCCAAATTTTCAAAAAAAAAGGTAATCATATAATATATATGTAAATATATATATATATATACTCGTATTGTTTTCACATTATAATGTTATTTAATAAATCAAACATAATCTAATTTTATAAAATATGTTTAGAATATTACATGTCAAAGAAGATATTTTGAGGGTAAAGTGTTGATAAAAGTATAAAGGAATGAGGAAATTGATAAGAAGAAAAAAATGAAACGGTTAAAGTTAAAAAAACCAAATTCTAAATTTAGTAAAATGCAAAGTTAACGGAACTAAATTGAAAAAGGTAGATTTTTAATAATAAAAAACAATTACATAGACATTCTACAGTGGTAGAGGAGCATGTGGTTCGAATTTGGTCACAACAGGATTAAAATGAAGGATTGTTGATTAATCGGGTAAAGATAACGGAAATAACACAAGAATTTTAACGAGGTTCAGCAATGTGCTTACGTCATCGGTACCCTAGGCGGCGCTATAATTTTATTTAATTTAATGTCTCATAAGTTTAGGTTACATCTCCTTTTATAATAAATAAACCTTAGTACATATTTACAAAATAACCCTATACCATACCGCAGGGCTGCGCCCCCGCACCTCCAACCCACATAATCGTAACCCCCACTACGAGGCTTTCTTTGTACTTTACCGATATATTTATGAGTCATACCTAACAAATCACCACATTGGCGAATATCCTGCCCCTTAGGAAACATTCAATGTGGGTTGGGTTACTTTACTTCTTTAACAACTCGAAACATTCAACAAGTCCAAGCAATGCATGAACTTGTCTGTCGTAACCGGCTTGGTGAACATATCAGCGGCATTCTCATCAGTATATACCTTCTGGAAAAAAATCTCTCCAGATACAACCAACTCTATGATCTTGTAAAACCTTACATCAATATGCTTAGTTCTAGCACGATATACATGATTCTTATCTAAGTGAATAGTACTTTGTTTTTCACAAAGCAACTGAACTCCATTGCTGAACACCCAACTCCTTCACTAAACCAGTAAGCTATAAAGCTTATTTTGCAGCTTTAGCCGCTGCCATGTATTCAACTTCAGTTGTAGATAATGCCACAACAGATTGAACAGTAGACTTCCAACAAATAGACCATCCACCAAGAGTAAAGACATACCCTGTCGTAGAACTTCTATTATCCAAGTCATCCGCATAGTTTGAATCCACATATCCTACAACCAAAGGATTATCTCGCTGACTACCAAAAACAATTCCATGTCCTACAGTACCCTTTAAGTACCTAAAGATCCACTTAATTGCTTCCCAATGTTGCTTACGAGGTATAGAAATGTACTTACAAACTTTACTAACAGATGTATGACGAAAGATGCATGACCTCGTCCGCCAAACATAATCGTATAGTTCCTGCCACTCGTTGCTGTAATTCTTCCTAATCTTCCTCCTCTATCGACGCCGGCTTTGTAGGTCGCAAAGCCTTTAGGATCCCTTACTGCGCCAACAGATCATTCACCCTTGTTTGCCATAATTCGAAGTTACCCTGACCATTGAATTTCGTAACTTCAAATTTGGCTCCTGACATCTGATACCAATTGTTGAATAATCGGGTAAAGAAAACGGAAAAAACACAATAATTTTAACGAGGTTCAGCAATGTGCTTACATCCTCGGTACCCTAGGCGGTGCTAGAATTTTATTCAATTCAATGTCTCATATGTTTAGGTTACATCTCCTTTTATAATAAATAAACCCTGATACATATTTACGAAATAACTCTGTACCGTATCGCGGGGCTTGTAACACCCCCAACCCGTACCCGACCCGAATACGAGTCCGAGATGTCACATTACCTTTTTAAAACATTACTCTTAACAAATAATAAAAAAATACTTAAAATTATATTAAGAAAATACGATAATATATATATATTAATACAAGTTTACTAAAATACTTAGAGCATACACAACTTAACCCTTTAGTTACATGCCAACACCCATTTACATAAGAAAATGACCTACTGATTAGGTTGCTTCTAATATGATAGTTGCAGGAGTAATGCTGTCAGCTGCTTAACCTGTATCTTCTACTTTCTCGGATCCTACGCGTGAAACACTCACATGTTAAGTCATCGACTTAGTGAGGCAATGTAATAATAATAGCAAGGAACAGTAATGAAAATGCCATAATGATATGAAATGAGATGAAATCGTATACTTAATCAATGTAGTTTATATCACCATGATCCTTACCCGTAAGCATATTACATTAGCATTCACGAATTTGTATTAATAAGATATTGGCCCATGATACCATACTGAGAACCTAAGGTACGTGAGTATTGTGAGGTTGTGCACTATGTTGTCACCACAGCTCGTATACATTACACCGAAGTGTCGTGTAGAAATTTGTCCTGAAGGACCGCGTAGAATTTATCCCGAATGACTACATATAAATTCCTTAAGAATCATATACATATGCCAAGGATCAATTATGTGTCTCAAAAGACCTCACAAATGTTTCAAAGAATATATATATATATATCTCGAATGACCGCGTAGACCCTCTACCCTTGGCATGCCAACTATACCTATAGTTCTCATCTACAGAACATGGGCTTTTACAATTCACATAATTTATATCGCATAGACATATCATTTCCATACCTTTATCGCATGATTCATATAACTTTTCCTGCATATTCATGTCACATAATGTATATAATATGAATTCATGTCAAGTGTCATAATATGGAATGTGATAATGTATCAAATATTCAATCTAGACTTATCACAAGTCTAGATATGAATATAATACTATAATCATGCTATGCATATGCACTCACCTATATTTCCTTGCTTTTTCCTCGATCGATCTTACTTATCGATTGTTCCAGAACTCGATTAGGCACAATATCTACATAAACATAATTTTCAAGATGATTATCAGATGCCTAAGTCTTGCAATTAACCTCTAATAACTTAAACAAATTTAAGGAATTGATATTTCATTTTTCCTTTAGGGGGAATCGGTTCCCCCCTATGGGGGTATCGATTCCCCTCTGGCATTCTAGAATTTCATATTCGTTTGAGGAATATCGATTCCCCTAGCCCAGAAATCCCATTTTGAGCTCGAAAATCACCTTATTTCAGCTCAAACTTTCATATTTTACTCCCTTTAATATTCCTAACTTTCATACACATACTTAAACTCATTTCTACTCCATAAACACTTCTTTAAACTCTAAATCTAATCATTCCTATATAATTGAAAAATTATACTAGTTTTACAACATGCTCAAATTTCTATTCTAACACTTCCCATCCCTTAATTAACTTGATGACAAGTCAATTCTCACTTCCAATTCTTATTATGAACTCTAATCCAAGATTTCACTTTTCTACTTCATTTATTCAAATCCTCATATACTTCTCATCTTGAGGTTTTAAAACAAATTAAACTTCTTTTAAGTTTAACTATTACCTAATGGTCATAAATCAACCATAAATTCATCAAGAAATTCACTAACAAGAGATCTTACCTTTAGCTTGGGTCTCACGTATGAAGAAGAAGAAAACTCTGGAAGCTTGTTTTGGTTTCCTATACTTCCATGTGGTTTAATATAATACTAACCCCAATAATTATCTTGCTATGAAAAGACCATTTTGTCCTTCTAATCCTCATTCTTTATAATTTAGTCCTACACAAAATAGCTCAAATAAGTCATTGAATTTTTCCATCATTCAACTTTAATCACCAAATTCTGAAACTTTACAATTTAATCACTAACCTGATATGGAGGATGTTACAAATCTCCCCCTTAAGAAAATTCGTCCTTGAATTTTCAATAAGAAAATATATGGGGATGTTGATTCCTCATATCCTCCTCACACTCCCATGTTGCTTCATCTACTTTATGATTCTTCCATAAAACTTTAACCAATGAGATAGTCTTGTTCCTCAATTGCTTAACCTCATGAGCTAAAATTTGAATCGGTTCTTCCTCATAAGTCAAATCCGGTTGTACCTCGATCTCTTCTAGGGTTACGATATGGGAGTGATCCGATCGATATCTCCGAAGCATTGAGACATGGAATATATTGTGAATCTTTTCCATCTCTGGTGGTAAAGTCAATTGGTATGCTACTGATCCCACTCTTTTTACAATCTCATATGATCCAATAAACCGAGGACTTAACTTTCCTTTCCGACCAAACCTCAGTACCTTCTTCCATGGAGATACCTTTAAAAACACTTTATCCCAAACTTTAAATTCAATCTCATTTCTTTTAAGTTCAGACTTTTACCGATCAGATGCCACTTTGAGGTTATGCTGAATTTCTCGAACTTTCTTTTCTACATCTTGAATCAAATCCGTCCCAAGAACACTTCGATCTTTGAGTTATACCAATTTAATGGAGTACGACATTTCATCTCATATAATGCTTCATATGGGGCCATTTTGATACTAGACTGATAACTATTGTTGTAAGCGAACTCTGCC